TCTCCTAGGCAATTTGGGGGTGGGGGGAAGCAAGCCTCAGCCCCCATATTCATCAAACTTCATTATCTTAGTACCTAGACCATTTAGCTCTGGCAGAGGCTGATGTGGAGTGGACAGACTCCTGGAGTCAGACCATCCTGGGTGTGGATTCTGGCTCCAGCACTGAGTGGCTGTGTGACCCTGAGCAAGTCAATTAACCTCTCTGGGCTTCATTTCCACATCTGAGAAATGTGTACATTTGTTTGGGTATCATCTACTGTTCTAGACCCAGAGCTTTATATGCTTTATTTAACTTGACTCTTTGAAATATATATATATATATATATATATATATGTATGTTTGTTTTGTTTTGTTTTTATTATTTTGAGACAGAGTCTCACTCTGTTGCCCAGGCTGGAGTGCAGTGGTGCAATCTCAGCTCACTGAAGCCTCCGCTCACTGCAACCTGTGCCTCCTGGGTTCAAATGATTCTCCTACCTCAGCCTCCTGAGTAGCTGGAATTATAGGCGTGCGCCACACTTCCCAGTTAATTTTGGTGTGTGTGTGTTTTTTTAAGTAGAGATGGAGTTTCACCATGTTGGCCAGGCTGGTCTCGAACCCCTGGCCTCCAGTGAGCTAACTGCCTCCGCCTCCAAAGTGCTGGGATTATAGGTGTGAGCCACTGCACCCGGCCCGAAGTGGATAATATTTTTCAGATGGTAATAGTAACAATGGCTGTGTAGGAACATTAAGACAATGGCCCGAGGGACTTGCCCAAGGTTGCCTAGTAGAGCATGTGATAGAGCTGGGATTCAAACCCGCAGCCATCTGACTCCTCGGACTCATCCTCCCTGCTCCATCGCATTCCTGGCCGAGACTGCTCTTCATGCTGCCATTCAGTAACCAACACCAGTGCAGCTGCTTTGAGTCCCAGGGTAGGTGGCATGAGCTGGGGCCTGACCCAGAGCCTGCTACACCCGAAAACCATTAAGTCCTGCAATGAGCTCCTTCCAGTTGCTGTGGGTTCCAGCAGGAGCCTCATCCCTCATAACCACCCCTTCAACCCCATCCCATCAAGGGAAGTCTTGGTTTGGGGCATGGGACATTGCCAAGCTGGGACCTGGGGTGGCAGAGCCTCTACTGGCAAAGATTCAGCCATCTTCCCACAGCCTTCTTCTTCTTGGGGACCATTGGCCACAGCGGCTCACCCCTGAGAAGAAGGCTGGAGTAGGGCAAGCAAAGAAGGCCAGTCAAGCAAGAGAGAGGCAGCTCCAACCCATTGGTCCAGAACAGGGGTGCTGCTATGACCTGCCACCCAGGAACATGCCCACGCCTCTGAGGGAAGTTCCTGGTCTTCCCAGACTGTGTCGTCAGGGAGGCCAGGATGCTCCATCACATTCCTGGCCGACACACGTGAAGGAACTCCCTCCAGGTCCTGTAGCTGCTAAGTGATCAGCTGGGCTTCACACCCATCTGCATGGCTGGGGTGAGCCACTTCCCTCTCTGGTCTCAGTTTCGACCCCTATAATCAGGCACAGAGACCACCTTCATTTCCCAGAGTTATGCTGGGCCTCAGTATCAGAGGGGTTTCCGGGCAGCTTGCTCCCCCTCCAACCTCCCTAGCCAGAGGGCCAGCTCCGCCCTGGCCCCGCCAGCGGGACCCAGCAGAACTCAGCAAGACACTGGGGCTTGCAGTTTTCAGTTCATTCCCGTGCCTTTGACCAGGAATCACATTCAATATAACAGGTGTGCACAGAGCCCCTACTGCGTGCTAGGCACTGGGACCACAAGCAGGAGACCCAGCCCCCACCCAGGGAGGAGCAGACCCCTCCCAGATAGCGATCATGCCGTGCAGTTCACAAGAGACAGGGAGGCAAGGGAGTGCAGGGGGGCTTCCCACAGGAGGGGACATCAGACCTCCTTGGTCAGCAAAGACGGAAGGGCTGAGATCAAACATAGGGCAGGGCAGAAAGAGCCCTAGCAAAAGTCCAGAGGAGGGCAGGCCGTGGAGATGGTCAGCTCTCCATCGTGGCTGCAACCTGGGACGGAGAGGGTGCAATGCTGGGAGGCAGGCAGGACAGGGCTAGGCTGGGCTGAGATCTCTGTAGTTAACTGAGTGGCCACAGGGAGCCACTGAGGAGTATGGATTGGGGAGGGGGATGAATTGAATAGTGGGGAGGAAGGCAGCGGAGGGGGCAGGGAGGAGCTGAGCAAGGTTCCTGAGCCTCTGAGCTGGCTTTGCGGCAGAAGGCAGGGGGCAGAGATGGTGTGAAGGGCTGGGTTCACCAAAGTAGGGCCTGTCTGCCAGGTAGGATTTCGAGTAGAAGCCTGGATGCGGGATGTCGCAGGGATATCTGGCCGTTCTTGCCTCTAAAGAGAAAGGCTCCAGTTGCCAGCCCGGCTGTGGCTGAAACAAGAACTCAGCCAGAGGAGCCTGGAACCCGCCAGCTGAGAGGTTTCTCTCTTCTGAAGTTGCCCTCATTAAGACACTCAGGCCATGTCACTGCCAGACTCCTGGAGTGGTGTGTCACCTGTTATGACAACCTAGACAGTGGTCAGGGGGCTTGGGCAAGCACACAGCAGGTCCAGGAGCCAGCAAGACAATCCCTTCAGAGGAAAGGAAGCGGCCTGTGAGCTGGTGCCCCTATAAAAGACATCAGGCCAAGACCTAGGTTCAGAATTGCGGGTGAGTCACAGGACGCCTGCTGATTAGCGACCAGCTGTTGGGAACATCAGCACAGCCACACTGATCTCATCTTGAAAAAAAGTGACCTGTGGACCCTGATTGTTTTAGCTGATTTTAAGACAAGCAAAGAGGAGGAGAGAGAGAAAGAGAAGAGTGCTTGCAAGGGTGTGGACGCCTGTACGGGCACAAGGAGGTGACGGTGATAGGAAGTGTTTTGGGGGAAGAGGCTGTGGTTGGGGGATTACTCTGAAGTGTCTCTAAGCCTTGACTTTGAGATCCATTTGTGTGGAGCCCCCTGTCCCCACCCCACCCCAGGTCTGTAGACTCCCCTCCCTTTCCCTCCCCTCCTCCCCTCTCCTCCCCTCCCTTCCTCCACAGGGTGTGTGAATCAGCACCAAGCGGCACCCCACTATTTCCACTCACATCCCTATAGGTAGCGACTAGCACCATCCCTGTTTTGTGATAGGAACGTTGAGGCTCCGGGAGATGCATTCCTTTGTCCAAGATCACTCCCAGACCCCCCGTGTCCCTGACCTCAGACGCATGGTAGTGAACTGGTTCCAGACGCCGTGTGTCACTGGGCTGGGAGGTGGGCAGCGTGGAGGGAGCACATCGGGCCGAGAGGATGGCCCAGGGAGCACCCAGCTGAGGAAAGCAAGAAAGACTTGGCGGGAAACCCCAGCCCTCTCTCATCTCATACCCGGGCCCCAAAGGCGGCTGAGATCCTTGGCGAGCAGACGGAGAAAAGCCAAAAGCCGGCGGTGGGGAGAGGGAGGGGCAGAGCGGGAGGCCACAGGCGAAAGACCAGCGCCGTCGGGGGAGCCAGGCTGAGTACCGTCCTGGGCACAGACGGGAGGGCGCGGGGCCACCGGCGGTGCTGGTTCTGGGCGCACTCAGCGTCCCCTGGCCACACACCCCAGCCTCCTGGGAGGCCTCGAAAGGGGTGGGAGGGCACGCCCGCCAGCTCTGCCCGGGGCTCAGGGAGTCTTCGAAGGCTTCTTCCAACGGTGGCGGACTGGGGCCCCCAGTCTGAGAGACCACCCGGAGACGGCAGAGACAGAGAGACAAAGGGAGACTGGGTCCCGGAGAGAGAAGGTTAGTGCCGAGGAGAGTGGGCGCGAGCCGGGACCTCGGAGGGCGGCGAGGGCACGCGCGAGGCCGAGTGTCAGAGCGTGGAAAAGTGGGCGTCCAGCGGCAGGTGGACGGATGGGGAACCCTGGAGCAGAGCCAGGAGCCGTGGGGAGACGCGGCAAGGAGCGGAGGCGGCGGAAGGACTGGCGGATGGACGGGTCCGAGGGCTGGGAAGGAGGCAGCATCCTCACCTCCAGCCTCGGGACCCTGCACACCCCGCCCCTGGGCGCGCCAGGTAGCCCACCTTTGT